TTGTTGTTATTGTTGTTGTTGTTATTGGTGGTGGTGCTGTTGTTACTGTTGTTGTTGTCAATGTGGTTGTTGTTATTGTGCTGTTGTTGTTGCTGTTGTTATTGCTGTTTGGCTTGAGGGATTTGGTTTTAAAATATCTTTTAAAAACTGTGACTAAGAGCTTTACTGCGCAAGCAGAGCAGCACAAATAGGTCATATATGTGCCGAAAATTAGAGGCGTTACAAGCGAGTAAGTAACAAACGCATAAAAACAAGGTGAGGAGCAGATAAGAACAATAGATGTTTGCTAGAAAAGAAGGAGCAAACCTCATAAGAGCTCCCTCCAACCACCCACACAAAACCAAGTATTTTAAAATAATTGTCGCCGTCATACGTCATTGTTGTATGTCAACCTATGGGGTTTTCCTGAGAACCAGAAAAAAACACTTGCTTTAGTTTAGACAAGACAATATATGTACATAGTTAATTAAAAAAAACATGTTTAATAAGTATAAACCCGTTACTATTTTGAGAAGAGGAATGAGACTAGACTCTAGGTCCAATCAACGCACCTCATTAAACTCTTCCACATACTTGATTTTTATTATTTCGAAATATTGACATATTTCACTGTTGAAAGACAAAATGAAATGTTAGGTGTACTATGAACTTTACAAAGGGCACTTTTCAATATCTTCTAGAATCTGTTTTGTGTTGTGAGCACCGTTTTTTTTAAAGAAAATAGTGAAAGATAAAAAAACACACACTCATACACACACACGTACACACACACTCACACATACAGAGAGAGATAAATAGATAGATTGATGTATAGATAGATAGATAGATAGATAGATAGATAGATAGATAGATAGATAGATAGATACAGAAACAGACAGACAGACAGACAGACAGACAGACAGACAGACAGATAGACAGACAAGCACACAACGACAACAGCAACAACAACAAAACCAGCAGAACAATATGACTCTTTTTTTCAGTAGACCATTTAGCGCCCATAAAACAATGGCCACTAGAGCACGGACGACACTTTGCTTATTAACCTAAGTGGGATCTTAAAATAATTGGACGATCTGCATATTATTATAATTACAGCGGTTATATTTACATAGCTATCGCCTGTCTGTGAAGTCCATAAGTCAAACGTGTGACCACCTGTATAAGACCCCCGGTTGACCTGCTGTCTTCTTTAAAAGTACAGTATATACAATTTTTTAAAAATTGTACACGGGAGCTAAAAAAATAAAAGCAACAAAACAATCAAACCAAATAGAACAAAACAAAACAAAACAAACCCGGCTTTTGTTACCATGGAAACAATATTTGCTTTAAAGATTATAAGAAAGTGATAATCAAAATGGAATTCTGAATAATGTTAACTTGGGGTGTTTGGAGGGAGTTTTTTTCTTCTTCTTGGTAACAACATTCAGTTTGTTTGCTTATCTGTAACCACCCCCCCCCCCCACCCCCCCCCTAAAAAAAGAATCTTATTACAAATAAAACAACATTTTTAAAAAGGTAATTATAAGGAAGTTATTATCAAAATTGTATTCTTAATAATGATATTAATATTGAATGTTTACAAAGAGTTTGTTTTCTAAGTAACAACATTCCGTGTTTTCATTTTGGCTCATCTATTTTAAAAAAACCCACCGAAAAACAAACAAGCAAAAAACCCATAAAAACGAATGTTGTTACAAAAGTAAAAAAAACCCAAGGTGATAATTGCATTCTTAATAATATTAGTATTAAATCGGGGGGTTAGTAAAGAGTTTGTTTTATTGGTAACAACATTGGGTCTGTATGAACAGACAATCGGAGAGAGACGGAGAGAGAGAGAGAGAGAGAGAGAGAGAGAGAGAGAGAGAGAGAGAGAGAGAAAGAGAGAAAGAAAGAGAGGGGAGGGGAAAGACAGAGAGAGGGAGAGAGAGAAAGAGCGGAAGGGAGGGAGGGTGTGTCTCCGTGTGTTTTTGTAAGTGTGTGTATTTGTGAGTGTGTATGTGTGTGTGTTCAGTTTTGTGGCTCGCCTGTACAATTGTTTAAAAAAAAAACAGATCAAGAAAAACCCTGCTGAAGGCTCTACTGAATTTTTCAAACGACGGCAGAGAAGTGAGGTGGTGAGGTGTTAAAGCTGCCTGAAGGTGTAATCAAGATCTCCCTTCTTAAATTAAGTTAGAACGGCCATTCATGCATGATAAGTTCCTGTCTACCCCCAAGGTCGCCGCACTCACAAAGAGTGAAAACCACGGATGTGGCGTCGGTGGCCTAGTGGTTAGGCTCTCGGACTCGCAACCGTAAGGTCGTGGGTTCGAATCCCGTCAGGGACCCGACGTTGTGTCCTTGGGGAAGGCACTTTACACGAATTTTCCTCACTTCACCCAGGTGGGAATGGGTACCCGGCTATAGACAGCGAAAGATCTTGTCAGTATGTTAGTGTTTGAGCGCTTAATCAGCTGCTTGCACTGTATGCTTCCCGGGAAGCTGAGAATGTTTCGGAGTGTTCTATGGTCTGCTGGGGTAATAATATAGTGTAAAGCGCATAGAGCCTGCTGTTGAGCGGGGATTTGCGCTATACAAATGCTATCTATTATTATTATTATTATTATTATTATTATTATGTGTGTTTTAAGCCGAGTATATTCCGAACAGAGACCTGAACTAGACCGTGACCCAAATCTGCAGCACATTTTTGGGTATCTTCTGCTTAGTTAGATTGTTCTTTTTATTTTAGTTACGGTTGTACGGCACTTGCAACACAACAAGATCATATCACTGTTGTAGGTGATTGCTCCTTCTTTTCATATAAAAAACCCGTCTTCCTTATTAGATTGTCCCCCTTTTTGAGTACGGTAGGGCCTATACTCTTTTAACACATTCAATCTTCGGCACTTATTAATACCAAATTGTGTTGTAAGTGCCGTAAAACTCTTACTAAAACTAAAGTAAGTAATGATTTTTTCTTCTTCTTATCCTTTTCCACACCGTGCACTGACCTATAACTCCCCCCCCCCCCCTCCCTCCCAATGCCCACTTTGATTATCCCAGATGGTGTTATAAATAATATGCGTCCTTTCTTGTCCACAGTGACTGACCTAGTTCTTGAAACGTGCACTTTAATATGCCCACATACTGCTTAACACTGGCGTCTGAGGTGTAGAAGATAAGCTCTTCGCAATCTAATGAATGAGACCTGAGTTTGATTCCCGAATGGGTAGGATTTCCTATCGAGGATTTCGTTCTTTCTTATGGGATGTGTCGCATCCCTCTCAGCCCGGGTTAGTTCTGACAGGCAGGGTAAAAAGCTCGCCTCCTAAATGACCTAAATTCTGTCACTGTAGACGTAACAACACCTATATTTAAAATAAGAATCGTATCCCTCTCAACCCGGGTTGGTCCTGACTCGCAATGTCAAAAGGGCCCACCTCCTAAATACTCTAATTTCTGTCACTGTAGACGTAACAACACATATATTGAAAAATAAGACTTCCCAACACCATTCCCGTATGATCTTATGCACAGTTGAATTGTAAATGGGTTGATTCATCAATGTCATGCTCATACTGTGCGGGAACATATGGGAAACTGCTGCTTTTTCTTTCCTCATCCTTACTATCGTCATTTTCCTCTTCTTTTTTGTATGTTTGTCCCTTTCTTGTAAACTGCTGTTTCAAGGGTGCCTTAATAGTCAAAGCAGACTTTGTGCTGTTGAGGCAAGAGAGATGAACAGAGTAAGCCTGATTCCCGGTTTGGACTTCTCTGTTGAAATCTACGCATTGGCGCTCATATTAAGACCTTATGCAGTTGTGAGCGCCGAAAAACCTTACTATAACTAAACAAGGGTGGTGTCGGCACTCATATCACCGTATTTTGTTTTGCAAGTGCCGTAACACTCTTACTAAAACTAAACTAAAGAGGTGAGTGACATACAATCTCTGTGCTCCACAGGCTGGGAGACTTGGTCCATGTGCGGGTAGATGTCTATGACGGACGAGGTCGGCCCTTATCTCGTGGAGGGGACGAGGTCAGAGTGCTCCTGCAAGAACCTGAGAAAAAAGCGTCCTTAGCAACGGAAGTCACGGACTTGGGAAACGGCAGCTACTACGCAGCTGTGCCCCTTCTGTGGACCGGAAGTCCTTTGGTCAAAGCATCTCTGGTATACAACCGAGAATTAATCCGGGCTCACCATTACGCGCGTAGCGCGGTCAAGTCAATTAAGAATATAGCTGCAGGATTCAAAAGTTTCTTTGCAAGCGAGGCCACCCTCTGCTCTCCTTTTCCCTTCCTCCCAGGATATTCGCGGTTCTGTAACTTCACAGAAGAAAACGGCGGGATGCCCTGGTACTGTGGTCACCCTCGTAACGAAGCCTTGACCTGCCGACACTGGTGGAGAAGCTTTGACCTGGAGTTTGTGTACCCTCTCCCTGTGACCGCCGCTGAGGAGGCGTGGAGCACGTATGTGGCTTCTAGAAAGCCCACAGCGCGAGTACCTACAGAAATTAAGGTAAAGGTGACCGACAGTGCCAAGCCGTCACCTCAACGTCACACCACGTCACCACCTGTTGGCAAGGCGGCGAATCTCCAAAGCTGGACAAGCCAGGCACCCAGAGGATATTTTTTGCAGAATTCTTGGGTGTCCAGTTCTTCCACTATTCCGAAATTCACAAAACCTCAGCTTTTACAATGTTTGAAAAACACAACAGTACTCTTTCTCGGCGATTCTAACGCTCGACTTGCTTTCAAGATCTTAGCAGAGCGTGTTGGATGTTCTTTAAACACTGGTGAGGTCAAACCGAGCTGGCATCACCCTTTGAGCTGTGAGGATAATCAAAACAATATCTACATGTATTGGCAAATTCACGCGTTGCCTTTTCACGCCGGCAAAAAATCTGGCTGCGATCGGGGAGACTCAAAATCAGCGAAACAATATATAGACGAGATCCCTGCCGAGGGGAAGTATCTGTTGATGATACATCTGAACCTCCATTTCCCCGCACACCATTACAGTGTGTTCACCTCACAGATGCACCAGGTGCGGGCGAGTGTGGAACGTGTTCTTCGGAGAAACCCAGAGGTCAAGGTAGTGGTCCGTGGCCCCCACCAGGCCTTGAAAGGTTGGGTACCGCTGAACGGAGGGGACATAACCGCCCACGTATTAACCAACATCATTAAGCGCTTGTTCGAGGGTCTCACGGACAGGGTCTTCTTCCTGCAGCCCTGGGACATGACTGTTGCCATACAGAACGGGCCTTTCCACCCCTCGAACCTCGTCAACAACGCCATCTCTGATCTCTTCCTCGCTTACGCGTGTTATTCGTCAGAGGGAGGGAGGAAATTATTGTAATAATCATTGTGTAGGTAGCTTATCATATTGTATTAAACAAATAATGTTGTAGCGTGTTCGCTTATTAAGGGGGGATTTTTAAGTTTAAGAACCTTGTAGTAATCGTCATCATAAGTGTGTGTGCCTTGAGAAAGGAATAAAAAGTCGAATTTTGACCATTTTGAGTTAAGGGTTTCACCTTATAGAAAAGTTAATGTTGAACACAGTGGCTTTTTAATTTTTGAGACATCTTAAGTACTTTTTGAGATATTACACACTTTGTGAGGTAAGATACAAAGATCTAATTTTGAGAAAATTAGCTTTTTTTTCAGTAGAAGTTTTACTGCGCTCGCAACTGCATAAGGTCATATGTATGCCAGAAGATTATAGGTGTTACAAGAGAGTAACAAACATAAAAAGAAGAACGGGAGATAAGAACGATAGATATTTCATAGGAAAGAAGAAGCAAACCACACCAGAGCACCTGCCAACCACCCACTAAATTAGCTTTTAAGTTTAGGACACTTACAAACTATAAAAAAGCAATAATTCATTTGTTTCTAGTGTATTTTCTTCAAGGAAAATTCATTTCCAATTTGGCATTCAGTTGACATCAATATCATGATTAGAATTCAATGGTAAAACATAGTGGGGACAAGAAAACATGCTTCAAGAAAAGATTTTAACACCTTCTAAAGGCAGTTTTCGTTATATTTTAAAAAAGTACCCTAGTCTCAAAATTGTTCAAAATAAAATATTCAGAAGTCAAATCAATTAAATCCCGTTGAAAGCATTGTTTTAAAAAAAGGTGGAACTATCATTTTTTATGGAAACACATTTTGGTCAAAAAAAGTGATTTTTTGGTAGTTATCAACCTGCAGCTCAAGATTCTCTGTGTCGACTTTTTGTACCGTTCTTTGGGCACACACACATATCATCGTCATCATCGTCCTGTTCATGTTTGCCACAACACAGTGGAATCAGGCGCTGGTCAATTCTGAGGCGTAATATGGAGTTACTGGTATCATAATGAAAGCCTGTTCATTTACCTTGTTTTGGATGAAAAAATACCCATCTATCTTGAATAGAGGTTGAGACATAAAGATTTGCGAATTGAAGGGCATGGGAGTTGCCTAGTGCCAGAGGTAAAGATTAGCCCCAAAATGGCCACGAAAGTTAGGTGACTTTCAATGCTAGAGCGTCCACGGAACCTACAATTTTAGTTTTGTTTTGTTTTGCCTAAGAGCAACGTTTAAAAAAATAAATTCCACACAGAAATGATGCTACACATATACCTAAATGTCTTTGTAATCCTGAAAACACCATAAATCTGGTCGGGTCGTAATAAATTATTTATTTGCTCACAATATTACATATTTATTATAGAAATGTACATGTATAGATAGATAGATAGATAGATAGATAGATAGATAGATAAATAGATAGATAGATAGATAAATAGATATACTGTCAAACCTGAGTAAGACGGCCACCTGTTAAGGAGAAGAGTGATCATATAAGACAGGTGGCCGTCCAAGGTAGGACTGATCAAAATGAAGAAAACAAGCCATTCCCTTCTGACGTCCCAACAAGAGATGATCACAGGCTAAGGAAGACCGTTAGGCTATTTAAAACAATTGAAACGGGGTTTTGCTTTCTTTTGAAAAGGTGGGGGGTGGGGGAGTCGGGGACCTAAAGGTTGGGCTCTGGCACTCGCAACCGTACGATGGCCGGTTCGAATCATGTCAGAGACCCGAATTTGTGTCCTTGGGAAAGGCACTTTACACGAATTTTCCTCTCTTCACCCAGGTGGGAATGGGTACCCAGCTATAGACAGCGAAAGATCTTGTTAGCTTTTTAGCGTTGAGCGCTTTAATCAGCTGCTTGTACAACACGCTTCCCGATAAGCTGAAAATGTTCCTGAGTGTTCTATGGTTTGCTGGGGTAATAAAAATATTACAATGTAAAGCGAATAGAGCTTGCTGTTTAGCGGGGTTATTCGCTATACAAATACTTTTCAAAATGTATTATTATTTTGCTGTTGTTGCTGCTGTTTTATTTGCTTTTCTTAGCTTTATTTTAGGTAACTTTTTTGTTGCTCCTTTTATGCAGAATTAAAATAAAACGAAAATTATAGGCGAAAAAGACAGAGTTTTAAGGTAAAACAAACACGACATGGGTCGCCAACACTCGGAGAACGAGCGACGCTTCTGTCGCAAGTTTATGTTGACGTCCACGGTTACTCTGTTACTACAGACTGGGTAAACAGTGACCACTCATCTCATCTACGATTTCTGAATGAGTTGTGGGCAGGGATTATAGGTTAGGAGGGATCACACGCTTCCTTCACCTGTAGCTGAACATGTTTTGTTAACAATTGGTCAACGGTGGAAAAGACCAACACAACACGATCGGTTGGAAGGACAAACAATAACGACAGGTGATTGGATTATAGCGACTCGTCGACAACTTCAGGGGCCAGTATATAAACAAAGCGCCATCGACGAGAGATACATGTACATAAGAGGCCGTCTCACACGGGTACTGTCGATAGGAGATTGATAAAATATGGTGGCTGCGGCCACGCTAGACTGAGGAAAAAACCGCAAAGGTGGGGGTGGGGGGGTGGGGGGGGGTTCTGGAAAGTGGAAAGTGGCCGTTGGGACAGGTGGCCATATTACAAACGTGACCGTCATGGCAGGTCCGACTTCATATTGATCTATTAAATAGATGGTGAACTAAGTGCAGAACATTGCTAGCTATACTTGGTTAAAACTGCGTTTTCTGAATTTTTCCCTGACGTAAAAAAGGTCAGGAAAAGCTGGTTCGTAGAAAAAGGGAAATAATCTGGTGAAAATACAGAGACAAAATTATGACACAATTAGGGTTTCTTCCCTAAATTCAGAATGGTAAATTTTAAAACTTATTAGCAAAAGTATTTGGTATAGGTGCTTTTTGTTTTACTTTTGTTTTGTTATTTCTTTCGCAGATTAAGCACAATTTTTCAATAATTATAAGATGGATTGTGTAAAACCTCATATATCCAGCCTTGAAAAGGTAGGCTACAAACACCTGATGGTACCAATGAAAGATAGAGATTATGTGTCGGTGATAGTGTATCATAGAAAGCTGGAACAAAGTCTTTTTTCTTCTTTTGGTAATTGTTTTACGGCGCTCGCAACTGCGTAGGGTCATATGAGCGCGGGACACATTAAACATTTTCAGTTTGGTAGGAAATTTTGAATTTTGCCATGGCTGACGTCTACTCTAATAGATTTTCAACCTCCAAGAGATTTTTAAGGTGTACAGCTTGTACACGGGACCTCCGAGATTCTTTGCCCTTATCCGAGAAGTCTAAGTGTTAGATCTTACGTACCATAAAATCAGGGGTGTGACTGAAAGACAGCAGTAAGGAGGAGCCAAGAAGTAGCAGCAGAAAGGCTGCAGAAAGAGTCAGGAGCCCAGAGGAGGGGGCAAAAGAGGTGAAGGGGTGGGAGCAACAAAAAAAAAGGAGACGAAAGCAGACCACAGAACATTGTTAGACAGCAGGAAAGGAAGTGAAAGGAGAACATTTATAAAGGTTCTTGCAGGCAGCCTTTCATTCATAACAGAGATACACAGAGCAACATAATAATAAAATGTAGGCCAACGCGTTGCTTGCGGAAAAGGGGCCACCATTAATTATTTCTTTATTTTCCTTCGCCCTCTGTTAAAATTAATGACTTTGTAGGGGGGTTTTTTGGGAGGGGGGGGGGGGGTTGTGTGTACGTGCCATTTTTTAAAGGATTGTTTTTTATTTATTGACTTTGTTACCACGTAAATGAGTTTTGTTCTTAGCTTGTTCAACAGTGTGTCCTATTTTTGTATAAGTAGTGTTAGGTCATCTTAAAGGAACAGTTACTATTTATTTGTGAGGCATCGTGGTGAAATCAGGCTCTCGTCAAAATAATGAATTCAAAGAAATTGGCCTTTTTCCACCCGTTTGGCAATTTTTTTTGATTTTTTTTATTTTTGACTCAAAACCTTTTATGTCCATTTAAAAACACATTTTTGTACTAGAAACCATTAAATAAAGGCACAAAAAAAGAGTAAATTTTCAGTTTCCAGGGATTATCAAGCTATGGAAATCACCAAACTTGGACTGTGATTTTCACACTAAGTTTACATCTCTAACCAAGCGGCTCCCACACCCTTTAATCGCAAATATCTCGACTAAACTCTGCGTAATAGATTGGGTTTTATTTTTCCAAAACCAGGACAAACAAACAAGCATGAAGATAAAACCAATAACTCCATAGGCCCACAATCTGACGACCGCCTGATGACACTGCTTTATGTCCCATTTAACATCCTCAACATTCTCTCTCTCTGTCTCTCTCTCTCTCTCTCTCTCTCTCTCTCTCTCTCTCTCTCTCTCCCTCTCTCTCTCTCTCTCTTTCTCTCTCTCTCTCTCTCTCTCTCTCTCTCTCTCTCTCTCTCTCTCTCTCTCTGTGTGTGTGTGTGTGTGTGTGTGTGTCACATATACGAGCGTGCACACACACCCACCTACACACACTCACACACACACACAAAAACACATTCACGCATACACACACACACAATACACACGCGCACACATACACACACACCTACACACACACTTACACACACACACACACACACACACACACACACACACACACACACACACGTACACACACTCACACGCACAAAGGCACTCGTCAATGTCTTGAGAGGGTGAACATTGTGAAAAGAAAATGGCAGGAACATAGCGCCTTGACAGAGAAGGTTGCTGATGGTAAGTCTCATTTGAAAATGCTGTTATTGCCACTGCAAATAAAATTATTATATTGACCAAGCACAGACCGTCTAGTAAGAGTTTCTTTTGTCCTTATATATTCAATTATTTTAGGATCATAATTTGTCTTACCGATGTTTGTGTCGTTCTCTCCTTTGACCAGTTGTCTGCATATTATACAACATATTCTCATATTATGCTTCATAATATTCTCATATGATATTATATATTCTCATGTTATACTACATATTATTCTCATTATCTATTATACTACATATTCTCATATTATATTACATAATCTCATTACTTATTATACTACATTCATATTCTCATAGTAAAATACATATTCTCATATTTTATAACAAATTCTGATATTCTGA